CAAAGAAGACGACGCCGCCTGCCACGGGCAACGTGGCTAAGAAGACGCCGCTCCCCACGGGCAAGAAGACGGACGGCGCGGCTGGGAAGGACAAGCAGCGCAAGTGGGCGAAGCCGAGGTGGGAGATGCAGACCACACGCAACTTGGCGAGCGGGGTTGAACCTCCCACCGATGAGGCGTCGGGCGCGCGCGGCGATTCCCAGCAGCCCCGCTGGGGTCGCAGTTTGCGCGCCCGCCGCCTTTCAGGCGACTGTTCATCGTTGCTCCGCCCCCCAGGTGCAGTTCCGCAGCGGCAGGGTCGGCGTCCCTGGCAGCAACGTCAGCCTGAAGTACATCGCGGGCGATGAGGCCGACAAGGCCAGATTCTCACCGACGCCCTTCTCGACGCCCTCCTCCGCGCTCTCTTCATTTTCGCCCCTGCCTCGACGCCCCCTCCGCCCCCTGCTGCCTCGTTGCGCCCGATCGCTCCGAGGCCAGGGCCATCGCGGAGGCGGAGGAGCTGGTCAAGAAGGAGCTCGCCGCCAGGGCGCGCGGCGAGTAATTCGCGCTACGACTCTTCAACTCTCCAGGCCAACGGGGCGGCCTCGGGATAACAAAAAGGTCGTGGCGGATATGCCGCCTCGTGGCGGATATGCCGCCTTGTAGCGCAGCCTTCTCGCCTTCCAACTCGTGGCGGACATGCCGCCCCCGCCCCACCCCTTTGCGCTCCTCCGCCCTTCAGGCGGACATGCCGCCGCCCCCCTCCCCTAATCGGCCCACTCCGCGCCCCCGCGCCACGTCCCTGCGCCCCCCTCTCCGCTGTCAGGCACTGGATCCCACGCCAACTAACGTCGGGGAGACGCCCACTGCTCGAACGGCGAAGGCGTTCACCCAGAATGGCATGGGCGCGCGCGAAGGCACCGACGTTGCCACCGCCCGTTCAACGACGAAAACAAGTGAACCAAGACCTGCACATTCAAAGGGACGCCAGTTCACTTATATTTCTGGTTCCCAATGCCACCCTCACTCTGCCCCCTCCCCCGAGACCCCGTCGCAAGAACCAGCGGGGCCCTTCTGAGAGGCCCCCGAGGGCTCGAGGAGCTCCAAGACTTCAATGGGTCCATGGGCAACCCCCTCCCCCTCCTCCCGAAGTCTCGCTTCCGCGTCCGATTCCATTTCGGTTCAAGCCCGCGGCCCGCGGGTGCCCGCGAGCCCGCGCGGGGTCGGCCCCCCCCTTTCGCGCCGACGCGTGGGCTGGGGCCCGCGCGCCGAGGCTGCGCCGCAGCCACCGCGTCGCGCTCGGCGCCTCGCACTGCGGCCGCGGCCATGGCAGACAGCGACAGCGCGTTCGACGCGTTGGAGGCAGCTGCATCGCCAAAACAAGTGGCCCCGCGTGCGGTAGCCAGGGACGCGCGCATCGCGCGCGAAACTGGCTGGCCGCTCTCGGTCGAACTGTTTTGGCGATTCGGCGCAGGAGATGTTCGGGCCAGCGATGCAGTTGCTCTCCGACCTTGCGGGCGTGGACAACAACGCAGGGGATCGGTCTTCCTCCGCCAGCGGCAGTCGGCCAGCCAGCGCGCCCACGTTGGCGGCGCAGCCAGCGCGATCGCGCAGCCCGCGCCACCCGCGGGCACCGTCGACGCCGCCGCGCAGGCGGGGGCCGACGTCACCGCCGCGGGACCCGCGGCAGCGGCCTTTCCCGCCCTCGGCTCTCGTGAAGGAGCTCGCGTCGCACATGCGGGGCGCGACGCCTGTGGTGGAAGAGCCCCCCGAGGCGGTGGAGGCGCATCCCAGCGCGGTGGAGGCGTTCAGGACGCAGCTGCGAGCCTGGCTGAGCGACCCCGTTGGGAATCCCATCGACTGGCGGTCGGAGAACGTGCTCGCCGTGCTCAAGGAGTACCAGATGAAGTACGACTACAAGAAGTTCCGCGACCGCGGCCCGCCTGGCCCCGCCATGGGCGGGCCGCAGACGTGGCAGGGCCAGGCGTGGCGCGCCAATGCGAAGCGCTGGGGGAACCGAGGTGGCGCAAAGCGCGAGATGTACGCGAAGCTGCACGGCAACAAGGCAGCGCCGCGGGTGCGCGAGGCGCACGTCCCCAAGCCTCAGCTGATGCATCGGGAGCCCAAGGCGCCGAACTTGCCCAAGACGATGCCTCAGCAGGCGCCGTGGAGGACTGGCAATATGAACCCTCCAGTTCCGCCTCCGCCGCCGAAGACCATGGGGCCGCCGCCGCCGAAGACCAGGCAGCCGCCAGCAGGGAAGCCCAGCATGGTGCAGCCGAGGGCAGGGCGTCGGCTGCAGCCGACAAGCAAGATGGCACCACCGCCAGCGAAGCCGCGCCCGCCCGCCCGCCGAGATGTCTTCTTGTAGGGTGATCGCGTGGACCTGCAAGCGGGCTGGGGTGCATAGCTTCCGTAATTCGAGCGCGGATAGTTGCAGCTATCCGCGCTGACGCGTCATGACGCGCCGCCTCTCCCCGCCTCGTCTCATCTCATCTCTCCTCCCCTCTCTTCGTTGCCGATCTATCTCATTGGCGGACGCGCCGCCTCCCCCCGCCTGGCGGACAACCGCCGTTCAGATACGAGCATCGGCGCATCGGGTTTGTTCTATGCGGTTGGAAAAAAACACCAGTCCTTCCCTGAGCCACCCATTGGCGGCTAAACCGCCCTGAAGCCTCCATTGGCGGCCACGCCGCCCATTGGCGGCTAAACCGCCCATTGGCGGCCACGCCGCCCTGAGCCCTCCATTGGCGGCTAAACCGCCGCCGCCGCCTGCTGGCATCCCGAAATGTGCGATGCCACCGCGCCTCTTACACATGTATGTTTTTGTTGTTGGGACGCTGTATCGGCTCGAATCTAGGCGCGCACAGGCTCGCGCCCCACGCCGCCCCTGCGCTAGCCGTGCACTTCTCGCCCTGCCGCCATGGCAGGCCAGCAGGGCGAGAAGACCGTCATGTTCGGCTTCAAGTGCCCACAGAGCAGCAGCTGCAAAAGGGGCGGCAAGTGGTTCCAGGGAGAGACAGTGGAGGCGGCCAGGAACAAGCTGGTGAACCACCTTCGCGTGTCGCCGTACCACGACTTGAGCGAGGACGAAGCGGAGGTAGCTGCTGTCGCACTCGAGCCCGACTCGTGGGAAGTCGACCTCGCGGAGTGGCGCCAATGGGAGGAGGAGAAGGCCAACTGGGGCTCCGCCAAAAGGCGCAAGGGGGCGCCGAAGGTCGAGCTGGCGCCAATCCCTCCACAATCCCGCGTGGAGCGCTCGCACCAGCTGAAGGACGCGTTCTCGGAGGGCAGCGGATCGTCAGGCGCAGCTTCGTCAGCCACGGCGGGCATGAGGATGTCCACGGCGTTGGCCAGCCAGATGTCGCCCGATAGCATCGTGGTGCTCAACGGCACCCAGTGCCAGGCTGTGCTCGACTCGTTGCGCCGCGCGCGTACTGCGACGCAGATGTGCGCCCAGATAGCGGAGCGCGCGGTGAACGCTTTCCGCCAAGAGGAGCAATGCATCGCCGAGTGCGAGGACGTGCTCGCGAGCTGGCTGGTGCGCAACGCGACCTCGTAGGTGCAGGTGCACGGCTGGCAGCACTGATGTCGCCTCAGCATCAGTAGCCTCATTCGCGCAGGCGGCGCGACGCGTCGGCCCTACACGCCCCCCTCCCACTCCTCCAACGCAATTTCAATCCACACCCCTGTGTCAGAACAAATTAGGACACCCCCACACACTCCATCCGCACTCAATTCGTGAAGGCCGCCACGCCGAGGTGAATTTTGGCCACGCAGGCGGCCGAGTAGCCGTCCCCCAATGCAAGGCGATATGGGGGCGAGTGGACGAGCGGAGCGGGAGGAAGGTGAGGGAACTTCGGCGGATAAGACAGGTGGGCGGTTGGATGGGATTTGGCAAAAGGGCTGGGTGGAGAAAACTGCATCCGCATAAGAATGAGTGCGGCTATTTTCTGGATGTGCTGCATCGCCATGTCCGCCCACCCCCCCATCGCCTTGCATATGATGACGCTCAGGCAGCGCGCCCCGATTGCGCGCGCTCGCCCGTCTCTTCGCTGCCGCTCAGGCAGCGCGCCTCGCTTCCGCGCTCGCCCGTCTTTTCGCTGCCGCTCAGGCAGCGGTTTGAAGCACGCGGCGCCGTCCGCGGTCGGTAGCGCAGGGCGCCGCTCCGCCCCTGCTGCTCCGCTTAACTAACTCGGCGGACGTGCCGCTACGCCGCCGCCATGCACTGGCAAAAAAAAGTTGGCTGTTATCATATGTTAGCAGATGTTATCACGCGCCTGATAACACCTGATAACACCTGATAACACCTGATAACATGTTATCAGGTGTTATCATGTGTTAGCATGGTGTTATCACACGCCTGATAACATATGATAACATATGATAACATGATGTCAATTTTGTGTGGTTGTCATGTTGCGCGCAATTCATTTCAGTATCCGTATCACCTCGTGCGTCCGCCACGCTTCGAGCGGCTAGTCCGCTGGCGGCCAATCCGCCTCCCTCGCCGCGCCCCTGCACCCTCTCAAGCGGCGAGTCCGCTGGCGGATATGCCGCCCCCTTCATACCTCACTCCACCCCTCCCTCCACCTTTGAAGCGGCTATTCCGCTGGCGGCTATCCCGCCTCACTTACCGCGCGTTTTCTTCGTCATCGCTTCGCGTCCAGCTCATCTTGGCATCAGGGCCGCGCGCGACGCGCGGCTTCTCGCGTGCCAAGGCGGTCACGCCGCCATGGCGGGGACGCCGCCCGCTGAAGATCACCAGCAGCATTCTCTGGCAGTGATGTTCGGAGCAGCCAGGCCGAAAAACAAGGGAGTGATGACCAAGGCGCCCGCAGCGAAGCCCCGTGGGAAAGCTAAGCTATCGGGGACGCAGATGACACTGACTGGACAGCTTGTGCCGCCGCTCGCATTGACCGACGCAGGGCCGCCGAAGGCACGCGGGAAAAGCAAAGGCAAGGGCAAAGGTAAGCACCCCGCAGCGTTGAGGACGGCTCGCAAAGCTGCGTCAGCCGCAGCTCCCGCCGAAGAACTGCCTCCTCAGGGCGCAGCGGCTTTGCCACCAGAGCCGGACGACGCAGCGTCAGAGGCGGCATCGGGCTCCGAGGAGCGCGGCGACGAGATTGGTTCCGAGCTCGGCGTCAAACAGGATGAGCTTGAGAGTGCCAAGCGTGAGCTTGAGGAGGAAGAGGCTCCACCGCAGGGCGCGGTAGCCAAGGTTGAGAATGAGGAGCGCTCGCCCGAGGCGGCAGCGCCGCAGGCGGAGGAGGAGGAGGCAGCTCAGGACGATCCGCCAGCAGGCGCTCCCCAGGTAGGGGAGTTCGTGGATGTGCATGGCATCGAGGATAGCATCGTGCGTTGCAACCGCTGCTGTCGCACGGCAAAGGAGTGCAACTACAGGATCAGGGCGAAGGGCCAGTCGACTTACCAGTGCGACGCGTGCAACACGAACGGGGTGCGCCTTTCTCGGAGGTTCGGACAGTGGCCGCCAAAGTGTTTCGCCAAAATGAAGAGTGAGTTCAAGCAGCAGTTCTACAAGGATCTGGCAGAAGATCCTGGGCTGTCGAACCTCGATCGCATTGAAGCCTTCGTGGTCAGCTCAATCACTGTCCAACGGATGGAGGAGGAGCGCGTCCGCAAGGGTGGCAAGTACCTTCCGCTGAGGAAGTGGGCGCACGACGGCTTCGACGCGAAAAAGATTGAAGATAATGTGCAGGATAAGAGGTGGAACCCTGATCTCGGGGAGTGGACGTACAGGCCGCAATTGGAGGCGGCCTGGAGCGAGACAGTGGAGGCCGCAGTGCGCAACGAGCTGTACACCGATAAGAGGACGCAGGCGAAGCAGAGCGGCCCGCGGGCAGCGGCCTCGACGGGCGTCGCAGAGCACGGCGGCGACAAGGGCGACAGAAGCGACGAGAGCGACATGTCCAGATCCAGGCGGCGCCGCAGGCGCAGGTCTGACAGCCGCAGGAGGAGGAGGCGCAGCATGAGCAGGCGCGACAGCAGGGGCAGGCGCGACAGCAGGAGCAGACGCCGCGACAGACGTCGCGACACCAACCGCAGCAGGAGCCGCTCGCGCGGCGACCGCGACAGGAGCAAGAGCCGCCGCAAGGGCAGGAGCAAGAGCCGCGGCAAGAGCAAGGACAGGAGCAAGAGCAGGCCGTTTGGGGGTTCAACGCAGGGGTGTCGCCTGGGCTTCGCATTCGTTTTCGGTTTCCGTTCAACTCTTCAGGTTCGGATCGGGTTATTGATTTCGCTCGGCTCGAAGTGTTGTCATTTTCGGACAACCCCGAAGGCTCCGCAGGGATAAGGACGCTGAGAAGGAGCGGAGGCGACAGGAAGCGAGGGAGAAGGCCGAGCAGGCCAAGAAGGAGACGCAGGAGAAAAACCTGGCGCTGAAGTGGATCGGCACCGCAACGAGGCTCGAGACAGAGCTGGACGGGTACCTCGAGCATGAGAAGGCGGACAAGGTGCCGTCATGGGCTGTGAAGAACGCGAAGGCGGCGAGGAAGTCTGTGGCAGTCATGAAGGCGGTGGCGCAGAAGCGCGTGCACAGCGGCGTGGCGTTGACGATCACGCAGGACGAGGCCATCAGCATCCAGAAGGATGCGAGCTCGGCGGCGAGGGCCATCGCGGGGATGCTCAAGGAGGCGCAGAAGCACAGCACCTGAGCGCCCCATGGTGGCCCAGTACATCATGAAGTACGGCCTGAAAAAGGTGGAGAAGGACCCGAATAAGCCGCGGCCGCTGGGCCGCTCGTGAGCAGGGGCGGCAGTTGGGCCGCTCCTGACGAGGTGTGTGATTTCGTACAATTGTTATTGTTGGTGAAACAACATTTCCACCGCCACCCCACTCGTTACCACCGCAGCCCTTCGTTTGGCGGGGATGCCGCCTTTCCACTCTCGCAAGCCCTTGGCGGACATGCCGCCTTGCCTTCATTTGGCGGAGATGCCGCCTTTGCTGCTCATCGCGCTCCGATGCCTCACTTGGCGAGGCGAAGCGCTTGCATAACTCCCTCCTGCTCGAGCGCGTCCTGCCCGAGACCCTACCGCGCGAGCTGTGGCTCGCGAAGGCCAGCGACACCGTTGGGAATCCCATCGATTGGCGGTCGGAGACGAAGCAGAGGCGAAGCAGCTCCTTGGCAGGGGCGGCAGTTGGGCCGCTCATGACGAGGTGTGTGATTTCGTACAATTGTTATTGTTGTTGAAAAAAACATTTCTTCGTTGCCATCGCCACCCCACTCGTTACCACCGCAGCCCTTCGTTTGGCGGGGATGCCGCCTTTCCACTCTCGCAAGCCCTTGGCGGACATGCCGCCTTGCCTTCATTTGGCGGAGATGCCGCCTTTGCTGCCCACCGCGCTCGCACCGTTCTCTCGCGTTTCCCAATGACATGATCTGCCACCGTCCCACCCCTCATCCGTAGTCTTTGTGGCTCAAGTGGAGCCGCTCGAGGTCGTGCCCCTTCGCGGTCTTGCGCCGCCATGGCGAGCATCGCGGACAAGTACGACGTCGATGACTTCGAGCTCATCACGGGTGGCAGTGCGTGGAGCTGGGCGACCATCGTGGTGCGCTTCATCGAGTGGCGCAATCGTTGCCGCCATGCACGCGCCGTTGGCATCAAGGGCCAGATGCTCATCGACAAGGCGCGGCGCATGATGGAGGAGGCGCGCCGCACCGAGGAGCGCGGCAAGATGCTGTGCCAGATGTCGAAGCAGACGGTGCAGGACATCCCAGGCGGCATTCGGTTCTTCTGCCGCCAGCCGCACCAGGAGAGCTGAGCGGCGATCGGCTGGGCCGATAGAGGAGGATAAGGAGGAAGAGGAGGCAGGATGAGGAGAGGAGGAGGAGGTGGATGAGGAGTTGGAGGCAGCACGCGCACCCGCACTAAGAGCCGCCAGCCGCCGCCGCGCCCGTCCCGCGCTGCGCCCGCCCCGAGCTCGAGCCGCCAGCCGCGCCCGTCTCCGAGCGCTGGCGGCTTGGAACCCGAGCTTGAAACTCAAGCTCGAAATTGCGTGCGAGAAAAAGAAATCTCCCTTGCAAGTTCCGTTGCTACGCTCACTTCGCGCCTCCGCAATCTCCCCCACCCACCCCCCTCCCCCCTCCCCCCTCCCCCCATGCCCCCTCGCCCCCACGCTCTTCGGCGGCTACGCCGCCCCTCCCGACCCTTCAGGCGGCTACACCGCCATGCCCTTCGGCGGCTACTCCGCCCCGCGATCCATTCCCGCCTCCACTTCCGTCTCTCTGGCTGCAATTCGTTTTTCTCAACCGCGCTGGGCCTCGCGCTGCCCCCCGCCCCCGCCCCTCCCGCGCGCGGGCGTCGGCGCAATGGGGAAACGCGCCCTGCAGGTGGACAAGCAGGTGGAGCAGCGGGCTCGACTGCAACAGTGTCTGGCCCTGCGCGGCGTGTCCGCGGCTTTGCTCGAGCGAATCGTGACTGCGCTTGGCCATGGCGACGACGCGGGCGATGCTATAGACGTGAGCGCTCGGGCCATGCAGCGATCGCAGACGGCATCCGTGGCCGATCTCATCAGCGCAGTGCGGCTGCAGCCCAAGATCGGCACGCCTTTCCGATGGAGCGTGGCGCTGCCGCATCGGCTGATGCCGAGGCTCCTGTCGGACTGCCCTCTCTGGAGTTCAATGTTTTGGGAAGCGATGCGCCGTTTCCCTGTGTCGCGCGATCGGCCGTGGAGGCTTTTGCTGTACTACGACGACATTGGCGTGGGCAACGCCTTGAAGATAGATAATCGTCGGAATCAGCTCGCGGTGTATGCGAGTTTCCTCGAGTTCGGATCCTTCTTGCAGAAGGAGGTTGCGTGGCTGCCGATCGGCACCTTGCGCGTCGTCGTGAAGAAGAGCATCGGCGGCTCGGCCGTGGCGCGGGCATTGCTTCGCGCGCTGTTCCTGGGCCCAGAGAGTCTGTCGGAGCACGGTGCGCCAATCGGCGGCGTGCACTTTTTCGCCAAGTTCCACCGCTTGATTGCAGACGAGGCGGCTGGAAAAGAGACATTCTGCACCAAGGGCGCTGCAGGTCTGAGACCGTGCTTGCAATGCAAGAACGTTGTGCTGGATCAGGCGGAATGTCTTGCAGACTACGACGACGATGATTACCTCGTGCCTCTCTGGTGCGCTGACTCGTCGCGCTTTGACCCGCTGTCGTCAGACGAGTTTTTGCAGCAATATGATGATTTGGCGTCGCTGCGGGACACGACAACCAGAGCGAACATCGAGAGACTGGAGCCAGGGAGGAAAACATTTCCATCGATCCCCTTCTGATGTCCCCCCCTTCCTTCCCTTCTGATGTTCCGGCCCCCGAAGGAGACGGCAATGGGCATCACTCTGGATGACCGTTCTCTGGTGGCGTGCCAGGCGTTGCGGACGGTGGCGCCGCCGAGCACATACGTGAGGGACCCCATGCATACCATGCTGGCCAGCGGCGGGACCTTGCAGGTCGAAATCTTTGCGCTCCTCAAGGCGGTGAGGGATGTCATCCCCGACGCGTGGGGAACGTGGCGGGATCGCTGCTCGGCGTGGCGGACTGGCAGACGCGGCAGGAAACCGCCAGCGTTTCTGTTCAGCGTGGCTCGGAAGAAAGCGACCTGCAAGGCGTCGCACTTCGTGGGCAAGGCGTCGGATTGCTTGGCCGTGTTCCCTTTGATTCGTCATTGGGTGCACACAGAGCTGCGTCCCAGCGGCATGGCGAACGCTGCGGCGCGGTCGTTCGAGGCGATGGCGAAGATGCTCGAATTGTACATGCAGGGCAAAAGGACATGCGGCCGCAGCTGAAACGCAAACGCTGGCCTGCGCGTTCGAGGATGCACCGCGTCGGCCCGCGCGCATCCTCGAGCGCTTAGGTGGCAGGCGGTTCGGCTACGTCCTGAGGATCGGCGCCGTGCCGAATTTGATAGCTGTCTGGACCAAGGCCGTTTCGATTTCCTTGGCGCTGCACAAAGCCGCGCACGGGCCAGCCCTGATCAAGCCGAAGCATCATTATTTGTGGCACGTCCCCGACCAGCCTGCGGAGGACGGCATCTGGTTGGACGCCTTCGTACTCGAGCGGAAGCACAACCTGCTTCGGTCCAGGTCGCAGGAGATCGACAACCCTGAGAATTTCGAGCGGTCGGCCTTGACGGCGATGCTCGCCTGCTTCCTGGAGGAAGCGAAGGAGGCGCCGCGCTCCCGCGCCAAAGCGTGGCGCACGCCAGAGCTGGACAGTACGTTCGGGCACTCGGGGCGCAACCTTGCATGCCCTTTGTGGAGGAAGATGGGCTGGGAGAGGGGAAGGCGGTTTGCCGCCGAGGCGGCTCGCCGCCAGGAGGAGGAGGAGGAGGAGGAGGAGGAGGAGGAGGAGGAGGAGGACCCCTCCGCAGGGCTGAAACGTGGACCAGCAGAGAGGCGTCGATCGACGGCCAGATGCACGGCAGCCAGGACAGACGGCGCAACCAACCTTGGTATTTAGGGGTGCACATGCGTGTGCCCCCCCAAAAATCGAGGCGTTGCTGCCCTCAGGATTTTCTCCTGGGCGACGGCGAGGCGTACATCGTGCATTGCTGCGCGCAGGCTGGCGCCGCCAGCTACCTGCTGGTGGAGACCCTGGAATGGGTGCGCGCGCCATGCCCAGGCGCGTCCCTGTGGCGGCCGCGCGGCGACGTCGCCGTGATGCCCGCCGAGCTGATCCCGCCAGCCTGGGCGGCTTATCGGCGACTACAGGACGATGGCTATGTGCTCGCCATCACGTGAAAAAGGAAAAAACGAGCGCATGCGAGAGCGGATATGCCGCTGGCGGACGCGCCGCCCTTCGATAGAGAGGTGCAGGAGGGAGGGGCGGATATGCCGCCGAAGAAGGAAGGCGGGCTCGGGGAGGGAAGGCGGCAGGAGGGAGCGGGGGCGGGCTGGCCGCCGACAACGAGGAGAGGAGAGGGGAGGCGGTGATGGCCGCCGAGGGGAGGCAGTTTGAAGAATAGTTGATCCCCCCCCCTCTCCCTCTCCCCCCTTCCCCTCCGCGCCCCGCAGGCGTCCTGAGGGCGGCTCGGCGCGTCGACCTGCGGCGCCCTGTCCTGAAAAACTGTTGTGTTGTAGTTGTTAAAACGTTTTTTGTGGTTTTTTTCCCGAAACATAGCAATATCAAGAACAAACATGCAAAACATAGAAAGTTATGCAAATTTCGGGTTAACCGAATCGGACAGCCCACATCGACTTAGCTGACTTAGCTACTAAGTTGGGTATGTTGAGGTGTATGTATCGATATATCTTGGCAGTGGTACCCGATAGCTCAGTTGATAAGATGGATGGTTCTGTGAGTAGTATGTATGGTATGTTGTTGAATATACTTATCTAACAAAACGTTAAGTAGATGAATGCGAAGTTCGATATTTTATATATGTTGAATATGTGAGGTCAACTAGCATGAACCTACATACATCTTCGTTGAAACGATTTCATCGGATATACAACGCTCTTACCGCACTTACACCCACCCGACGATCAAAGCATGAAAAGGGGGGGGGGGTCACTACCGGTTCGAACCCCTCCCCCCACCCCCCCCTCCGGATCCGGAAAACCGGGGGGCGTCACTACCGGTTCGACCCCTCCCCCCCCCCTCGAAAACCGAGCGGGGGTGCTGACAGTGGTGGGGGCGGTGTTGGTGGG